GTTTTTCGCCAAAATGAGATTTTAATGGCCATTCTTTCATTGATTTAGTCAACTCTTTATTATAGTCCATGTATAATTATATATTTTATCCTTGATAATTCTATGATTTTTCTTTTATATGATGCAAATTTAATACTTAAGTTTATACAGGGAAAGAGCATCTCAATATTCACAAATTGATGAAAAAATGAAAGTTAATAATGTAGTACCTTCATTTCTTATTGGATTCCTAAAAAATAACATTTATAATGAATTTTAATAAATTTTTGGGATTTTTTTGAAGCTCTAATTTGACTGATTCAGTCGATTCCTGATCCAGATCGCCGATTTGTCGATCAAGATATGTTTTTGAGATGCTCGATCCGGATCACCGATCCACTTTTTAAACCATCGGTTAAAATGAACTTTGAAAAGAGGAATTCAAAAATTGCTATTTATATTTTTTGAATGAGAAATTTTTAGATTTAGATCATTGCCGTGGTTTAGATTATTGAACTCTAAAATTTGAGATCCAAAATATATCTTTGAGATGTATTTTGTACGGAGACCATATAATGAGTTGGCTGACTCACCAAATACTTTTCCATTGGGAAAATGACAACAACCAACTTTTATAAAATATGACTTGGGAGTGGCTGGGTACCGGTAAATCAGAATCGGTTCGGCTATACGGCCTTGCTAAAAAGGTTAAAAAGTTCTAAAAAAATTATCAAGAACTCTAAAAAATTATCAAAAATATGTTTAAAGTATAATTAAACAACATATATCCAAATGAGATTTAAAAAGTAGTGAAAAAAGGATTTTGAAATTTCAATCTGTACTCGGGGATATTTTAAAAATAATCCAAAATACTTCACAATCTTTTTCAAAACAATAAAAACATTATAAACCTATTACAAACAAATTTCTCTTTCTTTCTTTTTTTTAATTTTTTAATTTTTATTTTTTATTTTTAAGTTCTTGGCTTTACCACCTTACCCAGCCATTGCTAGTGACGGATTCCAGGGAACCTGGTTGGGCCTGGGTTGACCCAGCTGAACACAATATCAAACTGGGGAAAATAACAATAATAAACGAATGGGATTTGGATGATTGGAATAAGTTATACATCCATATCATCCATTCACCAAATTTGATCTAATGTAATAAATCCCTATCACCAACTCACATACCTCGATCTACTTAATTTCGATCCGGATCGTTATTTCTCAAAGCTTCATTTTCTTGGTGTAATGTGGAGACCCACAATTTCTCTATCCACGTCTTCTATCGACCTCTCCCTCTTTTTCTTCACCGTTTGAGGGGAGTCGACCGTCCCCTCTCATTAATTACACCAATAACTTCGTTACCCTGATCACTTTGACCTAGTGAATGTAAAACAATTACGTACGCGTGAAGCTTTCGACATCTTCAACATTATCTAAACTTTTGACCTTTTACCCAAGCCGCAATTACAAAGAATAATACCACCATTATCAATCCGCATCTTCTCTATATTTATTTATTTATTTATTTATATTATTTTTTTACTATAGTCGCTCTCAAGCGGGTTTTGTTGATCTCAAGCTCGAATAAAAGAGGAGGGTTATGTTAAATAATACAGCAATGTCAAACTTTGTCGCATCTTTTTAATGAAAGGTGCATTTTCCATACGGATGCCTAAGTAGGTGTAGAGGTATGGTGCCTTTCAAATTTTATCATGATATATAATTTTGATGTAAAATGTTATTAGGATTATTTTAAAATTTATTTTTATATCTAATTATAAAATTTTAAATTTCAAAAATAATTAAAATCAAGTAGATCTATAAACATATGAAAATCTTAAAAATAAATGGTGTAGATAATATATTGTAAACCGCACTATTTTTGAGACCTAAAATTTTTGTATGTTTTATAGTCATACATCTCGATGTCGATATGATCCATAAAGGGTTTTCAATAATGAAACTACCTTTTTCGAAAGATTTTTTAGGGGTATCCGTACTTGTTGCATCCTTACATAAACTTTTTCCTTAAATAAATTAAATAATTTTGCGGAGGATTAAGTAGGGTAGAATAGGTGAGCTTGGTGCGCAAGGAAAAGATGAGGAGCTCCCTTGACATGGTTCCGACAAGCCCCACTTCTTCCGTTTATTTATTATAGGTCCAACTCATCACTTATTTAAATCTTTAGAAAACCGATCAACGGCACATAGTCAACCTTCGTACAAACCCCTAATATTTACTGGAGATTGTTCAAGTGAAAGACAAAAGGAAAATACCGGGGCGACAGGCACTCATGGGAAGGTAGATCATGTACAGGTTGTGTACGGTGTAAGGGGCAAAGATAGTAAAGATCGACGATACTTGAGGCCTGTCAGCATCATCAAATTAAGTAAGTAAAGCCTCACCTCATCAAAAATTGCAATTCAACTGGTGAAATACTTTTAAATCGACCATCTCCGCTTTAATATTATGGTTGCGAAAAATTTAGGATGGAACGCCTACTTACAATCCATTGTTCAAATGGACGCTTTATATTTTTTGGACTCTCATGCGATCCAGCTTGTACAAGACAATATTTTTTTACTTTTTGTATAAGGAGGTCACAACTATTCTTATTCATTCGATGTCAAACTGGATTGTTTGAAGTGAGTGACGAAGTTTGAGAATGTTTTTTTGAAATTTTATGTCTATAATAACACTCTTATAACCACCTATTTTGAAATCTAAGGGACAATCGAAATTTAAAGGACAATAATGATTGTGTCCTCCTTGTACAAAACGTAAATGGCTTTTTTTTATAGACAATCGCTTAAATATATTTCATAAATACATTAAGTGTATATATATAAATAATTATAACTATAAATATAATAAGGATGAAACCTTAAACAATCCAATTATGGGGCACCTTAAAAATTTATTATAACATGTAATTTTGTTATAAAAAAAGGACGATCTAGATAATGTATTGCAAGATGCACTATTTTCGGGACTCAAAAACTTTTTATTTTCATATTCATACATCTCAATGTCGAGATGATCGATTAGAGGGGTTTTTCAAAGTTAAAACAATATTTTCGATAGATTTTTTAAGTACATCTGATTCTACATTTTAAGGTTGCAAACTCATATAAACTTTTCCCATAAAAATTTAATCACATGAGTGATGTTACACCCCATCTCGATAATACGATCCTCCACTATAATTAATAAATAATCTTGTTATTATTATGAATTTCTGTATTGACATTGATTAGTTAGCTATAATATCCCTTGATAAAAAGTTACTGGTAAAGGTATTAAATATTTAAAAATGTTAAGTACATTTATGTATGTATACCCTAACACAATCCTATTTAAATATGACAACTATTCAATACTCGGGCTGTGTGCTACACAGGTTGGTGTATCGTAAACTTCATTGAAGGTCATCAGTCTTTCTTCGGAAGTTTTGGGGACTTTGAAGATGTAGGGTTATGTGGTCTTGGCCAAAACTCGTGTAGAGACTTTTGGGACGGAGGTGGGTTCCATTTTGAGGGACACCTTATCCCCTATTCTCTATAAAAACACTAATCAATGCCATCATTTCATCGGGAGGGATGTGTTGTGTTGTGTATAAGGAGAGAGTGGAGATAGATTTATTAGCCAAAGCTCGCTTTTTTGTTTACAACATATATGGAGCCGGCAGCACTGTATTGCAACGATTCGTATGGTTTTCAAATAATTCTATTCTGAAAGAGAGATAAGGTTTATTTTTTGTTTGATTGGGAAGAAATGGCGATGCGGCGTGGTGTTGTTATGGTTTGTTGAGTTGAGAAAACTCAGTTTACGACGGGACGACTTCTTCGGGAAGAAGGTTCATTTCCGAGTATTGTATTTGGAATAATTTTGACGGGGTTTTTCGGGGTACGAGTACGACACCCTGTTTTCCCGTTTCCCCCTGCTCCAAATATTTCCTCTCTCTCTCTCCTCAACGTTTGGCCTTGTCTCTCTCTCTCATCAACGCCTGCCCTCCTTTCTTTTCATCTCTCTCCGCATTGTGTTCCTCCATTTCCATCAAATTCGTATCATCTCACGCTTCGGACTCCAGCATTTCCTGAAAAGTAAGTCATTTACTTTCTCGTTTTTTTTTTTTATTTACTGAACCATGTTTTGCCTGAAATGGAATGAATCCTTTCAATTTTTTATGAATAGGAAATGTCGATATGTTTTGTTTGATGAATGCTTTTTTGTGTAATTGAAAAAATGGAGATTTTTCCGCATTCTTGATTTAGGCGTGAGATTCAAATGTTGGTTTTAGATTCTTTAAAATGCATGGTGGGATCTGTGATTTCTCGAGACTTTGTTAGGCCTGTTCATGGAGGATTTATTTTGTTTTAGATTTCGGGCCTGACATTTTTTATGGCTTTGATTGTTCTGTAGTTTTAATTGATCTCTGTCTCACTCTCCTTCTTCTTCTTAGCTGAAAACTTTATTTCTCTTTTTTTTTCTTCTTCTTCTTCCACCATTATGTATACATAGAATCTCTCTCTCTCTCTCTTCTTTCACCGTTGTGTATAGACGACTAATTATTATTATTTCGCCTTTGGAAAGATAATCAAAATCTTATCTTTCTCTCCTTTTCCCTGTTTCCATTTGGAAAGAAAAGTTTAAGGTGCTTTTCTTCCATTACGAGTAAGCTTGTGGATAGAATAAATATTCGTGGTCAGTTCCTGTAATGTCCATGGGACTCATCTTCCATATGTTTATGCTATTGCAGAGAAACCGTATCTATCAGTGAGATATTGGGTCTCTGAAAAATGGGGATGTCTTTTTCCACATACACAGGAATTTGGTCAGACGTAGAGGACCCAAACGATGACGCTTCGAAAGATGAAACCGTGTTTGTTAGATCGATCAGTTTTAATGGACTTGATGTGAAAACCACCATGAGGTCTGTAAGTTTCAATGGTCGGGATTCATCGGAAGACTCCATTCTGAAATCCTTCGGCCGTTCCAGTGGTCGGCTCGTAATTGAGGGATCTGTGAGTTTTAAGAAGAGGGATCCAATGAATCCCTTTGAAATGGAAACCACTATTTCTATCAAGAGCCCTGATTCAGACTCGGATACTAATGGACATGTTAATCCTAAAAGCAAGGAAACTAGGTCTGTTTTTTTGAGATCAAACAGCTTGGCCGAGAAGAGTGGTTCTAAGCATGAAGCTGCAGTTAAGCTGCAGAAAGTCTACAAGAGTTATCGGACAAGGAGGAACCTTGCAGATTGTGCAGTTGTAGCTGAAGAGCTCTGGTATGTCTCTTTGCAATCTTAAGCTTTCTTCTTTTTTTTTTTGTTTCTGTTCCTCTTAGATTTCTATGTCTTAAATGGTGTATTTTCTTTCCTTGTTGTAGGTGGAAGGCTTTGGAATTTGCAGCACTTAAAAGGAGTTCGGTGTCTTTCTTTGATATTGGGAAGTCTGAATCTGCGGTTTCAAAATGGTCCAGGGCCAGAATTAGGGCTGCAAAGGTACATTGTGGCTCACATCGTCCACAATGTAAATTGTGTGCACCATTTTTTCTCATTCTGATTTTCTTTAGACTAGCTTTTAACTTTTTTTTCCTTTTAAAAGTAAGACTCACTGTTTCAATTGCAGGTTGGGAAGGGCTTATCGAAAGATGAAAAGGCTCAAAAACTTGCTTTGCAGCATTGGCTTGAAGCAGTATGTTACCAAAATCCACCTTGGAAATTTTGACAGAGGAGTGGCTTTTGTTTGTCTCGATCTGTGTTTTTATTGTTTTCTAACTGATTTCATTATTTATTGTGGCTATAGATTGATCCACGCCATCGTTATGGACATAATCTGCATTTCTATTATGACACATGGTTCGATTGTGAGAGTAGACAGCCATACTTCTACTGGTAAGCTTGTACATCGCACCGTATATTTTCATCTCTTGCTCTAACAAGGATCCAAAAATAAGCAATCAGAAAACTCTAATGCCTGCTTTTTATAGACTAAGATTTCCAAGATTTGCAGGTTGGATGTGGGTGAGGGACGAGAGGTGAACCTTGAGCGATGCCCTAGATCAAAGCTGCAACAACAGTGTATCAAGTATCTTGGTCCGGTAGGTCTTTTTGGACCCCCAAGAAACTCTAGTTGTGCTTAGCAACCCCACTAGTTTGAATTAGACTGTCATTCGCCTTTTCTATTCTCATGGTTCAATTGGGTCCTAACAATTTCTTGCTATGAATTTAGTTATCAAGTGGTCAGGAAATTGAGAGGAAAAAGAGTTTTGTGGCCTATTTTGACTGAAGTTTTTATGTGATTTCCTTGCAGAAAGAGAGGGAAGCATATGAAGTGATTGTGAAGGATGGGAAGTTTGTGTACAAGAAAAATGGAGAGCTTCTTGACACTTCTGAAGGACCAAAAGATTCTAAGTGGATTTTTGTGCTCAGCACATCAAAGGCTTTATACGTGGGCCAGGTATGATTCTCTGCTGAGTTTGTTGACCAAAAAATGCATGGAATTTGAAGTAATATTGCATTGAGAAATCAAATAATAAATGGGATGAAACTTCAATATAATTTATTATTTTGACAATTTCTTCCAAAATTGTCAAGAAACTTCAGATTTCTAAGTGATCAAAGCAAAAATTTGATTTTTGGCAGTATTTTCCAATAATGTCAAGAAATTTTGCATTTTGAGAAATTTTTGAAGGCTCCCAAGATCTTTTAATAAGCCAGTCTATTGGGCTTTTGCTGTTTTTCTGAAAATTATAGATTCCAAAGATTTAATTCTCCCAAGTAATTGTTGAGAACTGGTTGTCTGACTATGGTCTGGATTCGGCATGCAGAAACAAAAAGGCATGTTTCAGCATTCAAGCTTTCTATCTGGGGGAGCCACATCCGCAGCAGGAAGGCTGGTTGTTGAAAAGGGATGCCTTAAGGTAAAACTCTACTAAAATCCCTTTTCACCTTATCAAATATCAAATTATGGCACATCAACAATAAATCTTATTGTTTGGGTTCTAAGAAGGTCTTTGATTTTGCCTGTATGTTCAGGTTGTGTGGCCATATAGCGGCCATTACCGCCCAACTGAAGAAAACTTTCAGGAATTTTTGAGCTTTCTCAAGGAGAACAAAGTGGATCTCACTGGAGTTAAGGTACAGAGTCTCCTTTCCATCATCTCATATTTACTTTCTACCTTGATTTTGCCCCCAAATTATATATCATTTAATCAATCCCCCTTCCTTCGAATTTTACAGTTGAGATCAGTTGATGAGGATGATGCACAGAGCAAACAAGGTGGAAATGCATCCCTCAGAAGTGTGGCCTCAGAATCAGACATAGCAAAAGATTCAAACAATTTGTCTATTCCCCAAAGGGGCGAATCTTTTGGAGCCTTAAACCGCATTAGCAGTTTCTTGAAGGGTGAAGAAGAAGAAGATAACAAGGTAAATTTCAGTAATAAGAAGTTGCACTCAAGGGAGGAAGAAGGTGGGGAAGAAACAAGAATACCAGAGGCATCAATACTTAAGAGGATAAACTCCAAGAAGGGGATGCAATCTTATCAATTGGGGAAGCAGCTTTCATGTAAATGGACAACTGGTGTGGGACCTCGCATTGGTTGTGTTAGGGACTATCCATCTGAGCTTCAATGGAGAGCGTTAGAGCAAGTCAACCTCTCTCCTAGAAGTTGCTCGTGCCCCAAGACATCCTTCTTGACATCTTCCATTGCTAGCCCGAGGGCGTGCTCTGTTTTGAAAGAGAGCAACAACATTGGCAGTCCACTGTGCAGTGCCAATTGAAGCTCTCTCTCTCTCTCTCTGAGAGGAGGGGCATACAATCTTGTCTCTCTCCGAACTGGTGGGGAGAGAATCCATTATTTGATTTGATGTAAGTAGAAGCAGCTGTAGAGCAGGTTATTTATTTATTTATTTGGTAGTTGTTTTATAATTGTAGTTGGAGGTCTAATTCTGGAGATTTGGGAAACAAAAAGCAAGTGTAGAAATTTTTGATGGGATTCAAGCCCAATATATGAAAGGAAATGTTATTTATTATTATTATTATTATTGACTGGTTTTGGATGGAGGCTCTTATTCTGATGTGGGGTATGATGGAATTTCGATATTGTGTACTTGACGAAGTCAGTTCGCAGGAAGCGTGAACCGCAAGCCCTAGTAGTGTTTAGAGAGAGAGCGAGAGATTGGACCATGGCGACTTGTTTGTTTTCTTGCGACTTTGGAGACTTGTTTGTGTTGTCGGGAATAAAAGAACTGAATTTTCTTTTCCAAGAGCAGAAAGGTTGTTGAAAATGAAAATATAGACACGGAAATTCCGAATAATTTTCTAGCTTTTGACAAGGTGGTGGAATTCAGAAATCGATACGAGTCCAAGGGAGCCATCACCATTGTTGGATCCCTTTAACTTTGAACATAGAGGACTGCCTCTTCTGTTTTCCCTTCCTTTGCTTGGAAAAGAAAATAAACTTTTCAATTTCTCTTTGGAGGATACCAATTTTTCAATGTTGAATAGACAGTGACAGACAAGAAACTGTAGAAAGAAAAAGGCATTGTTTCTCCATGGTTTTTTGTGGGTTCTTGCTGCTGCACTTTATGTGTTGATTGAATAGTGGCCCAAGGCGTTGACCTTGTAAAACGATGGGAATCGTTTTTCAAATAATGAGCCACCAAGAACTTCACTCACTTTTCAACCTTGTATACTTTGTATTAAAGATGAATGATCTAATTTTATATTTTTTTTATTTTTTATGTAAAGAAATTATAATTACTCGTAAGTATTAGATTTGAAATTAAAAAAGCTTTTTAGAACTTGGAGTTTAGGAAAGGACTTTTTAATTTCAAATTGGAAAAGCTTTTTAAAACTTGGAGTTTAGTAAAGGACCTTTTAAGAGAAAAGTTGTTTTTGCCATTGTAGTTGGAGGTCTAATTCTAGAGATTTGGGAAACAAAGAGTGTAGAAATTTTTGATGGGATTCCAGCCCAATATCTTCTTTTTTTGTTTTATTATTATTAACTGGTTTTGGAGGGTGGCTCTTAATCTGATGCGGTGTATGATCGAATTTCGATTTTGTGTGCTTCACGAAATCAAAGGAACTTTAAGCAGTTTGTAGGAAGCGTAAAGGCGCAAGCTCCAGCAAGGTTGAGAGAGAGAGAGAGAGAGAGAGAGAGGACTATCGAGGCTTGTTTGTTTTATTGTGAATAAAAGAACTGAAATTGAGACTAGTATTGTTGTGAACAAAATAACTGAAATTAAGGGAGAGAGAGAGGATTGTTTTTTTTTTTTGTGAAAAAAGAAAATTGTTAGAGATTTAGTGAAGGAAAATTGTTTCATGCGGGCTCGACTGTATTTCTACAATATGCGGTCCCAAGGTACAAAGCATTCATCTTAAAGATGAATGTAAATAGGTGGTTCATTTAAAACCAATTGAAACTAATGGTCCATATGTTTTCTTAATAGAATCATTATTTTTATTTTTGAAAATTTATTTATTTTTTCATATTTATAATCTCCATGTTAGAGATTACATGTCCATAAAATTAGGTCCAAAAATCCATCTCAAAAATAGATTTTTAAAAGGTGACTCATTTCTGCATGGGCTCATAGAAACCGTATCCTTTATTGAATTTAGAAAAAGTGCAGTGGAGACCAAAAATTAAGAGTCAAGTGACTCAAAGAAGGTGATCGAATTACTAAATTTTTGCACACAATAACCAATTCCAAGAAAAGAGGGAATTCAATCCAAAAAATCAAAGTAGATAGTGTGGAGACCTTTGAGCCTGATAGTATTGAAAAATCAATGATCGATCACTTTAAAAGAAGCTTTCAAAGCTAAAAAGTGACAATTTTTAAGGATAGATTCAATGATATTTGATGAACTGCCAGCTGATAAGGCTCTTTGGTTGGAGCGTAAGTTTGAAATGGGTGAGTTCAAAGGAGCAATGTTTGGATTAAGGAGAGATAAGTCGCTTGGTTTCCCTCTAGAATTTTTTTCAGAGGTTTTGGGACATGCTACAAAAAGATTTGATGCTTATGACGAATGAATTCCACAGTAAAGGTAAAATTTGTACATCAATGAATTCTACTTTTGTTGCTTTAATTCCTAAAAAGAATCTGATTGAGGATGTTAGATATAAGGCCTATTAATCTTTTGGGGAGTTTGTATAAGATTATTGCTGAAGTCTCTGTAAACAGATTAAGAGAAGTCCTTCCCTTTGCTGTTGATGGTCCACAACTTGCTTTTTTGAAAGATAGATTATGGATAACATCTTAATTGTTCAGAAATACATTCATGCTAGGATCAAAGACCAAAAACCATGTCTAATTTGTAAGATTGAATTTGAGAAAGCATATGACAAAGTGGACTGACAAATCCTCCATGGTATCATGGAAAAAATAGGTTTTAGATCCAAATGAATACTGTGGATTCATGGTTACCTTTCATCAACTCATTTTTATATCTTATCTAATAGGAAGGCCAGTGGTTATTTGCCGGCCTCCAAAGGTATTCAACAAGGTGACCGCCTTATCTCTACACACTTTTGGCTAAGTGTTTTAGCGTGATGCTTACTTCAATGGTTGACAAAGGGTTAATCTAATGTAGTAAAATGGGCAAGAATTTGTGAATCAATGATTGATGGTGGTTTGGGGATCAAAAGGTTGAAGCTAATGAATATTAGTCTGATAACTAAAAGGCGGTGCCGTTATCGTTCGCAACTAAAAGGCCTATGATGTGAAGTTCTCAGCTAAAAGACCGATTTTGGTTTGACAAATGGTTGGGTAACACTCGCCTTTGGTATTCTTTCGCTGAGGTCTTGCTAAAGCCCTCGACCCTCTGGCCTCTATGGAGGATTTGAGAGGGCTTTTTTCTACTAACAATGTGTGGTCTATTACTTGCAGGACAGGAGGGTTTTCGATAGCTTTTTTTCAAGAATATCAGAAGCTATTGAAAGTGTTGTAGAATGTTTTTTATGCTCCAAATAAAGAGGATTCTATTATTAGGGAGTTGAATTCTGAGGGTGACTTCTCGATCAAAATCTGTTTACAGATTTCTTTATGAGAAGAGGCATATAATCATTGACCCAAACTTAGTAGCAATATGGAAATATGGAACCTTCATGTCCCTATGGAGGTTCAATTATTTATTTGAGTAGCAAGCCAAAAAAAATTACCGCCTGTGGATAATCTAAGGAAGAGAAGCTTCATCTTACCAAATGTTTGCCAACTATACTTAGGGGTAATGAATATGCAGACAATATCCTACTTCATTGCTCTCATTCACAGGAGATTTGGAGTTGATACAGACAACTCATCAAATTACGGATCGTTATTCTTCAATCAATGCCAACTGTGTTACAGCAATGGATGAACCCAGGATTAAAAAAAGTTGGAACAATGTTATGGAGATCTCTTTGGTGATGTGGAATATTTGGAAGGAGTATAAAAAAAGAGTGTGTGGGGGTAAAAGCATAGATATCCATTCATTGAAAACAAACGTCCTGATGGGCTTTCTCACAAATAAGGATTGCACCTTCATTCCTAGAAAATCAGATTATTCAAAATCCCTTTGAAGTTGCAAATCTTCATAATCGATTCAGTAGTACACAAGCAACATGGATTCCACCACCACAGGGATGCCTTAAACTTAATTTTGATGGCATCGGGAATGCCGGTCCTGCTGGTTTTGGTGGAGTTATTTACGATAATGGAGGGAACATTTTATTGATGTTTTTGGGTCCAATTGACATCTCAACTGTGATTCTGTGAATGAAGCAGAGACAAGAGGTCTATCGAAAGGATTGCAATTATTTTCACACTTATTGAGGGCGACTTAAAAAATGTGATAGCATGGGTTAAAGGATAGATGAAGCCGGCATGCAGATTGACATCCATGTTTGATGAAATTTTTCATTTTTTTTTTTTTGCGACTCTTTTGAGCTTTTTTATTGCTTTAGAGAGGCTAATTTCGAAGCTCATTCTCTTACTAAGGGTGGTGTACACCAATGTTCTTTGGTGGTTAGATCCTTCTCTTGATTGTACGAATCTTGGTTATCATTAAAAAAAAAAAAATTTGAAAATGAGAGAGAGAGAGAGGGGACTTATTGTTTTTTTGGGAATAAAAGAACTGAAGTTTTTTTTCCAAGAGCTGAAGGTTGTTGAAAATGAAAACAGAGACACGGAAATTCCGAGAAATTTTCTAGGTTTTGACAAGGTGATGGAATTCAGAAATCTGAAGGAGTCCAAGGTCTCTGAGCCATCACCATCCCTTCGACTTGAACATAGAGGACTGCCCTTTTAGTTTTTCCTTTCTTTTTCTTGGAAAAGAAAATCAACTTTCCACCCCGTCTTTGGAGGATACCTATTTTTCAACGTTGAATATTCTTTCCTTTTTAGATGCATGTTTCTCCATGCTTTTTTCGTGGATTTTTGCTGCCGCGTTCTAGACGCACAAAACCAGGAACAACCAGAAACACGAATCCTTATGTGGGTCATGTAACATCTTTTCCCATTGTTAACTTAGTTGATTATACCATTTATTTTTCATACAAGGAGATCACGATTATTTTTTAACTAGATGTCAAATTGGATGACTTGGGGTATGACATGAAGTTCGAGAAGTTTTTTTTGAAATTTGGAGTTTGGTAAATAACGTGCTCACAACCACCCAATTTGAAATCTGAAGGACATGAGTGATTGTAGTCTCCTTGTTCTAGAAATAAAAGACAAGCTTTTTATGTTTCCTTTGGTGGATAAAAGTTACATGCTTTCCCCTATCCAACAGTCCATTCTGAATGGACAGCTGAGATGGCCCCAATCACAATATCACATCTCTACACTATTTTATTTTTATTTTTATTTACAAACTATTTTGACACGACATTAAGACGTCCGCTCCTCTTTTAAACCCGCATCTGTTAAATATATATATATATATAATATTATCAATTAAAAATGATCTAAATACCTTGAAAATTTCAAGGTTTTTTTATCATTATATTTTCATTAAAAAATTATTTTAAAT